GTCAGCCTTTTTGTATCTCAATTTTGTTCTAATTAGTTTACTTGTTGAGATAATTTCTTTTTTGATTTGTTGGCTGTTATTGTTTTTTACAATTTTTTTTTAGTTTGGCCAAATCTTTTTTCAGTTGGTTAATTGAACGGTTTTGGTCTATTGTTATTCTTTTATTAATGGTACCATGAGATTTTTCAAAATATTTGTAAATTAAATTGTTGAACTGAATTTAACTCAGCATGGAAATATGCGTTTGCCTCTTCCCAATCTCGTCTTGTACGGGGAAGTTTTATACCTGGCAGGAGTCTGGCGGATGGAGCAGTGTGGGCCTCCACTGGCGACGACGACTGTGTTGGTTGTTGTATGCTGTTGATTTGCTTAAACTCAGAAGTAGCCTCATTAGGTGACAACGGCGGTGGCGACCGGTGGACTTTGTTGAGTTCTGTAATTGAGGAAGTGGCCACACCTGACGACGACGATGGCGGCATTGGTAGACGAACGCTGTTTAAAGTTGTAGATGTGAAAGCATCTTCTGTTGTCGATGTCGATGGCGATTTTTGAGCGTTGTTGAGCGTTGCAGTCGTCGAGGCAGACTCTTTGTCAACCACTGGATGAAAATACAGAAGCTTGGACGTTTGGCATGATCTTTTATGCATTATTAATCCTGTCCGTCCTTTACAAAACTTTCCACAGCAGCACTTTATTAAACTATCTGAATTATTCGAATTTTCAGACAAACTATTTGAATTTTTCAGTAAATTATTCCTGTTATCCGAATTGGCAGGTAAATTATACAAATTATCCGAATTGACAGGTAAATTATTATCAATTAAAGAGTTCAGATTATTTTCTTGGATATTTACTGAATTTGAAATATTATCATTTGTTATGTTATTAGCGTTGATATTAGATTGTATAGATAATTTTGTGCACCGCCACAGGTGTTTATTGTTACAAATAAAGTCTTTTAAACAATGCGGGCATTTAGTTTTGACAGCCATTATTAAAAAACGAATTAAACTTTAAACACTTGTAAAATTAAGCAAAATTTTGAATTTAAGATTAAATTTAATCCAGTTTATGCAGCAAATAACATTTCCTATCTAAAATAACAAACTTTGTACTTTAAAACGTTCTAAAAACATGAATATTACTCTAAAAACAGTGAACCGCGAAAATTCGACTCTCATGTTTTATAATAATAATAATAATAATAATACCAAATATTAATAATGAAATAATTATAAAATCCTATTTAATAATAATAATAATAATAATAATAGTGGTAACAATAATATTAATAGTGTTGATGATAGTACTAGTGGCAGAAATGATGATAATGGGGTTTTCGCGGTCATTAATAGTATGGCGGTTGTTGTTGATGATGAATACATATATATAGTGTTGATGATAGTACTAGTGGCAGAAAAGATGATAATGGGGTTTTCGCGGTCATTAATAGTATGGCGGTTGTTGTTGATGATGAATACATATAACAAA